ATCTTAGCCCTGTTATTCTCCACGACCTTCTGTGGAATCTCCCATCTGGACTTGGGTGGGTCTAGTCCATACACTGTGCAGATGTTGTACACAATGCCAGCTACTTGGTTGTGCCGTTCAGTGTATGCTGTCCCTGCCTGCATCTTACACCCTACCACTATGCATTGGACTGTCTCTGAGGCCTCTTTGTACAATCTGCATCTTGGGTCCTCTCTAGTGTGGTAGACCCCTGCTTCTATGGATATGGTCCTTAGTGCCTGTTCTTGTGCTGCTATGATCAGCGCCTCAGTGCTGTCTTTTAGTCTGGCCCTTTCCAGCCACTGGTAGGATTTCCCAATGTCAGCCACCTCAGCTATCTCTCGATGGTACATCCCATGCAGGGGCTTGTCTTGCCATAGTATTTCCTCCACTTGAACTTTATATACATATACATATACATATACATATACATATACATATACATATACATATACATATATGATTGTGATATACATTCTTCCTTCTAGTTCAGTAATGAATATTATAAATGTACTGGATGACTGACTCCAGGAAAAAACATATTAAAGAAAATGTAACACATTTTCTAAACTAAATCAATGCTTTTTAGTGAATAGTGAATGAAGTTCATCTGTCATAGTTTCCTTGCAATTTAGGTGACATCAACATCAGACGGGTGAGGAGAATCGCTTACAAAATAGCATTTATAATCTCTGTATTGAAGAAGGATCAAAGCAATGCCTAGGAATTAGTATTAGGGTGAGAAAAAGGAACACTGTAAAAAGAGTTAAATCTGTCAGTTCTAATTAATGTAGAAGCTTTGTTTTGACATACTGTACTGGTTACCAGAAGAATATTACCCAGAAAAATAAAAGACTGAATACTGTACAATAAAAAAGACAGATTTTATCTATTGTAAAAACACTTATTTTAAAAAGAGAAGTGAACTACTCTAAATCTCAACTATAAGTTATGGACTTCAACTGAATAGTAGCTATATGATGATCAAGCAAGTAACCACTTATAAAACATTTAAATACATCTCACAAATGCTTACATTTGGAATCCTGAACAAATTGGGAATTCAGTTACCCAATGCCCTAGAATGTCCTGGATAGCTTTCAGTCATGGTTCAGGTATGGGCAAACAACAGGAACAGCACTGATAATGCTGGTGGATAACCCCTGGCAGGAATTACTGTGAACCTTCTGGCCCTATTGAATTTCTCAGTGGCCTTCAATTCCATCAACCATAGTCGTATCCTTCTGAACTGTCAGGGGGTCGGGGTTAGAGATCCTGTTCTGCAGTGGTTTCACTCCTTCCTTAGTATGCAATTCCAATTGGTGATTTGGCTTAGTGAACCTAGGGGGGTACTGCAGGGTTAAGTCCTCCCCCCTCTTTTTTAACATCTGTATGAAGCCATTGGAAGAGGTCATCTGTCAATTCAAGATAAGGTATCATCAGTGTGCTGATGATAGTCACACTGCCACCTCAGGCTGCAGAGGTGATGTTATGGAAATCTTGTCCTAGTATCAAGGGATATAGGGGTCCAGATGGGGCAAAATGGGCTGAATCTAACCCAAATAAGATGGAGTTACATTTCATTCATCAAGATTCTTGGTCTATTCCAGTGTTGTCTCTTGAGGAGAAGGCACTACCCCAAAGGTGCTGGACTGCAACATGGGGTTCTCCTGGACTCATGTCTACAACTGAATGGACAGGAAGAAACTGTTGTCAGGAGGACCTTTTTCCAATTTTGGCTGATACTCCAATTGCAGTCCCATGGACCATGAGGATCTCACAATAGTGACTCATGCCCTCATTACTAGGCAGTTGGACTACCACAATGCACTCTACATGGGGCTGCCTTTGAAAATCACTGGGAAACTGCAGTTGGTACAAAATGTCACAGTCCACTTATTGGCAATGTCAACCATGAACTGCCAACAGGTTTTTCAAGGTGCTGGCACTGACCAATATGGCTTGATGTTCATATGCAGAATGCCTTCTCCAACCACAATCAGCCTGTATTGTATGTTCATCTCAGGATAAGCACTTGGTTGCACTACATTTTCCCAAAATGAGGGGACCAAAGACTGAGAGAGGACCAAAGGCTGTTCTTCTGTTGCAATTCCCTGTCTTATAGAAGAATCTCTCCTTGAAACTGCAGTATGACCGTTCTGTTACAGGTTCCAGTTGTTACTTCAAATGGAGGGCATTCAATAATTAGTATCTTGTTGCCATATTTGATATCTTTATTATCTGTTATGTTGTATAATGATTATACAAAATAATCATCAGGATCATTATTATTTCATTATGATGTCGATTTTTATTGGTTACCAGTTATGATGTTTATTGTAGATGCATTAATTGCTTTTATTATT